GGTGCTGGGGGATCGAACTGTGGTCCCTGGGTTTTGCTAAAGCTTGTTCTAAGTAGGTGCTTTAGACCACTGAGCCATCTCACCAGCCCCCACAAATAAATTCTTTTAAAAATAAATAAATAAAAAATAAAAAAACTTTTCAGATTGGTGTTTAAAACTGCCACATTCAATTTCACAAAGAGTAAGGCTGCCTGCCATTTTACTACTTTTTTAGTAGGCAGAAGCTAGATACAAACAGGTAAATAAAAATAAAGGCTATTATATATAGGAAACAGGCCAGGCATGGTAATGCATGCCTGTAATCCCAAAACTCAGGAGGCTGAGGCAGGTGGATCACAAGTTCGAGTCCCCTCTATGGAACTGAGCAAATTAGTGACACCCTGCCTCAAAACAGAAATGACAGAAAGCTAGAGAGGAAGCTCAGTGGGAAGGCCCTAGATTCAATCCCCAGTACCATTAAGTAATACATAAAAATAAGCATACAAAGAAACAGTTGAATGTGGTAGCATTAATATATTTTAAGATAAGTCAACAGTAAACCACTGGAAAATATATATATGTGCACATTATACACAGATGAGCATCTTTTGTATTAAGAAAGCAAGAATTTTAAACCAACTGAAGTTTGGATTTGTTGTGACTGATTGTATTGTTGAAAAATACTGGTATTCAGTTTTGTTTTCTGGTGCATGCATATTTGGTGCTTTCCCTTCCTTAACTGACAAGCCATCTAAGTGGATCCGGTGCACTGCTTTTCTCCTTTGAGGGTCAGTACATAGTGCTAATGTTACTGCAACTGCGTGTGTGTGTGTGTGTGTGTGTGTGTGTGTGTGTGTTTTAAATTTTATTTTATTAGAACTGTTTTTCATTAAATAAATTTTAACTCGGATTTTTCCTCACTTCTTTTTTTTACTTTTTAAAAGGTAGTATCTTTTTAATAGACATAACTGTGTATGGTAAAGTTTATGTGTTTAATATGTTTTTCTTTCCCTCATTAATCAGCTCATTAGAAATATTTTAAGAAAATGAATTCCAAAAGGAAACACCAGAAAAGCTATCAAAAGCTACATCATCTACATCATTATCATCATCATCCTCATCATCAACCTCTTCATCATGCTATTTAATGCAGGGCTTAGCTGTTCATTTTTTTTTGGGGGGGTAGGGGATTGAATTCAAGATGTTGCACTTGACAGGCAGGTGCTTATGCTGCTGAGCTATCTCCCCTTAGCTATTCTCTTTTTTAAAAAAAAAATCTTATTTATTTATTTGGTACAGGGTCTCGCTATGCCTGATATCAGAGATCGAACCTGGGTCCTTACACTTGCCAGACAAACACTCAGACTGACAAACTGTCTCCCCGGCCCCTTAGCTGTTCCCCTTCTGTTTATCATTCTTTTCCATTTAAGTCATATCTTCAGCCTTACCCTTTGAAAGGTTAAAGAATAAATTCAGAGTTTTGTTTTGTTTTGGTTTTTTGTTTTTTGTTTTTGTTTTTTTTTTTTGCGGAACCGGGGATTGAATTCAGGCCCTTGTGCTTGCCAGGGAAGCACTTATTCCACTGAGCCATCTCCCCAGCCCCTAATTCAGAGTTATTTAAATGCTGGGGGACAAAAGGGCTCTTTTTTTTTCTTTACTTTTCTTTGCAAAAAAAAAAAAAAACCGTGGGCCAAGGAGATAGCTCAGTAGAATAAGCACTTGCCTGGCAAGCGCAAGGGCCTGAGTTCAATCGCCAGTTCTGCAAAAAAAAAGGAATATACAAGTATTTATAATTAAAAGCTACTTATTTAGGTTTTTTCAAATATATTTAGTACAGGATCTACAGGGTCTCACTACACAGCTCAAACTCGTAGTGATCCTCGTTTTCAGCCTCCCAAGTGCTGGGATTACAGGTGGTTTCAATCACAGTCTCAGCACACCCCAGGGGCATGGCTGGCATGGCACATCGGGGATTGAACCCCAATCCCTGCATTTACCTAAGCAGGTGCTTTAATCTGCTGAGCATCTGGCTGAACCAAAATAGCTAACCTTCTCATCTATAAAATGGACCCACTGCAGAACCTACACCACAGAAAAGGAGACTTAGATCAGTGCCCATGTATACTGCTTAGAATACCAGTAGCATTTGGTCCAAGGTAGACTATACCTTATTGGAAATGCTTGTGACTAAAGGATTTCAGATTTCAAATTTTGGAGTATCTGAATATACATAATGAGGTATTTTAGGGATGGGACCCAAATTTAAACACTAAACTCAATTATGCTTCACATATACCTCATACACATAGTCTAAAAGTGATTTTTATACAGTATTTTTAGTGCGCCTATGTTTTGACTGAAACATAACAAGAGATCACACCTGGAATTCGTCATTTGTGACAGCAAATCAGCCTCTCTAAAAGTTTCCAATTTGGGGACATTTTGGATTTCAGATTACAGATGGTCAATCTATATATAATGATGGTAAGCTGGGGAGATAGCTCAGTGGCATAGGCACCTGCCTGGCAAGTGCAAGGTCCTGAGTTCAATAACCTGTACCAAGAAAAAAAAAAAGAAAGTCAAGTATACATAAATGGGAGCTGCTATTATGCATATTAATAGTTTGAGGGGGCCGGGGAGATAGCTCAGTAGAATAAGTGTTTGCCTGGCAAGTGCAAGGCCCTGAATTCAATTCCTGGTTCTGCCAAAAAAAAAAAAAAAAAAAAAAAAAGAATATTAATAGTTTGAGATAACCTGAACAGTGAAAGATTTGAAGGGCTGGCCAAATAGCTCAGCGGATTAAAGCGCCTGCAAGCAGGCGGAGGGGCCGGGGGTTCAATCCCCAGGCCTGCCATGCTGGCCCTGCCCCCAGGACACGCTGAGATAGCACTTGAGACTGGAAGTGGTGGCAAGCGCCTGTAATCCCAGCTTTTGGGAGGCTGTAAACAGGCAGATCACTATGAGTCCGATCTAGTAGTAAGACCCCTGAACACTCTGTAGACACTTCCCTAAAATACAAAAAAAAATAAATAAAAATAAAAGCATGGGCCGGACAGATAGCTAAGTGGACTAAAAGCCTACTTAGGCAGATGCAGGGACTGGGGTTCGATCCCCGGTGTGCTGTGCCAGTCCCACCCCTGGGGTACGCTGAGACAGCAATTGAGACTGGGAGTGGTGGTGTGTACCTGTAATCCCAGCACTCAGGTGGCTAAAAACAGTAGGATCGCTATAAGTCTGATTTGTGTAGTAAGATCCTGTAGACACTGTACTAAATACATAAAAAATAAAATAAAAATGTATTTCTTTCAGAAGCAAAAAATTATACATAATGAACAATGCTGTTCAATTAGAAAAATGAAATGCGTGAGAAGCTCCGCACTGTGTACTAGTTCTTTAAAGATTCAGTAATACAGACCTTATAGAAATAACTTTCCCCTATTTTTATTAAAGAATCTGAAAAGTGAAAGAAAAAAAAAAGAACTTGAAAAGTGGCAGTTACAGTAACTTAAAATAAGCAAAACACTGCCACTAATCTGTACTGAATATGTACGCTTCTTTTAAAAAGTTTTTTGGAGCAAGGCATGGTAGTACATTCCTCTAATCTCAGCACTCAGGAGGCTGAGGCAGGAGGATCACTGCAGGTCTGAAACCAGTCTGGGCTACAAAGTGAGCTCAAGCGCCAGCCTGAACTGCACAGCAAGACTCTGTCTGAAAAAGGCAGAAAAAAAAAAAAAAAAAAAAAGGTTTATGGGATAGGCCCTTAATGTGTTGCGCAGGCCAGTCTTCAACTCACTATGTAGTCCCCGCTAGCCTCAAACTCTGGAATTATGTGTATGTGTCACCATACCCAGCTGAAATGAACACTTGATATAATATGTATATTATATTTCAACAGAGCAGTTTTAAAATGCACTTCCCTCTGACAGACTTTATACTAAAACTGTGTGCGGTATAAGGTGTTGTTTTGTTTTGGGTCTTGAACCTGTATATGAAAAGCATGTGATCTACCACTGAGCTGGAGCCCTAGCCCTTTGTTAATGGTTTTAATTAGATAAAAATCACACATTATAGATACACTGGGTGAGTAATGTTATTGAAACATCAGCAAACTATACTGAACTCTTGACCTCTCGTTTCTGTGTGTAAAGTTGAAGACACTGGGAGGGATAAAGGTACTCCAATGATCATATACAGTTAGCAAATTAGAGACTTACGCCATATTGTCATAAGTATTTCAAAGTCAGTTAGGGGTCAGACTAAAGAGACTGGTAAAGAGATTACAGAGGAACACATTGTTCCCTGATACTGACTACTATCTGCAGAGTGCGAAAAGAGACCTAGAGAAATAGGGTCTTCTGACATCTCCAGAGACAATGCTGACAGTGGGTTCTACATTTCAACCCTGGTTTGGATGAAAAGCTAGATAGCACCTAGCACAGCTGTAGAACTCAAAATGGTGTGGGGAGGGCACATCCCCTGTATCAACTGTTTGGGCATGAAGATACCCATGTTTTTATTCCTGATCTTAAAAACTCTCTTTGTAGTCATGACTAAAAATTATAAGCTAGGGCCAGGGAGATAGCTCAATAAAATAAGTGCTTGCCTGGCAAAAGCAAAGTTCTGATTTCAATCCCCAGTTCCACAAAAAAAAAAAAAAAGTGGAAAGATATTGGAATCCACAGCCCTTATCCCAAGTCACTGGGACAAGACACACTTTGGAATTCAGAATTTTTCTGATTTAAGAACAGTGACACAAGACCAGGCGTTGTGGTGCACACCTGTAATCCTAGCATTGGGGAGGCTAAAAACAGGAGGATCACCCTGTACCAAATACGTAAAAAAATAATTTTTTTTTAAAGAATAGTAACACAAAGCATATGTATTACACAGCATTCCCAACTGGGTCTGGAACAGCATCCCATAATCAAATACATTTAAATTCATTTCTGTGATACAACATTTGACTACTGACATTAAATGTGATAAAGGTAATAAGCCTCTTGTCAATTCTGGCCAGGTTTTAACACCAAATGAGTTATGAAAAGTTTAATTTTTTTTCCAGCATTTTGTGGATTTCAGAATTGTGTATAAGGAAACTGACTAAACTGCTTTCTTACTTTACCAATCCCCAGAAAATGGGCCTCTTGTATAAAAGCCTGGCTGTGCAAGGAAAGGAGAGGAGTCAAACTCGCAAGATGGCTGTTAGCCATGGCTATTTGTCAGTGGCTGGTACTCGCACCAGAGGCCATTCTACTGCATAATGACAGGATGTGTCAACCAGTAACCCTGCACAGGGGAGAATGGCTTTGAGTATAATTCAGTAAGTACACTACTTTTTATTCCAGGTGGACTTAACAGACTTAGCTAAATACAAAAGATATATGAAACTATCCTATAAAAGAAAGGAAGAACACATACTTACTCTGGGTAACATATGCCCCAAAAAGAATCCACATAGAAGCAATAAGTGACCCAAACATCAACATGAAACCAATGAAGAGCCAAACTCGAGCACCTGTGTAAAAAACAGGCTTTGTGATTTTGTTGTTTTACATTTCCAAATGTCCTAGGGATGTATAACATTGGGAACAGTGCTCGCCTAATATACAGTACGCAGGTCAAAAATAGTCACACATTTATATATGTCTGCTATTACAGTTACCTGAATGAAGATTTAAAAATCTAAAAGGAGTTAGACCATTATTTGGATAGAGAAAAAGAAATTACTTTTTTACTGCCTGAAGAAACGAATACCTGAGTAACCTAGGCAGCCTTCACAGGTAATTATTTAACTAAACTGGTTCATTAAACTTAACTGGTAACATATATTACATTACACATATTATCAAAATAACTGCTCTGTGAAGAGCACCAAATGTACTCTAGTCATCAAGCAGGAAAATCAGTGTTAAGTTTCTGCAATCGTACCACTGCTCAATACAATATAAATAGGGCCATTCCTCATAAGAATAGTCAGATTTTTACAGTTGAAGCAGCAAACCTATATCATGTACCTTTAAAAGCTCAAGGCCAGAAGTATCTCTTCTACTCTGGAGTGTGCAGGACTTAAGACTCTCAATAATATAACCATTTGGGTGCTGAAGCTGATTCAACACATGTTTAGGAAAGTACACTAATATTTGTATCAGACCCTTTTCACAGGCATAGTGATGGCCCATACCCCATGGCAAAGGAATAAAGTTCCACTGATATGAAAATACAACCCTAATTTCCACAGCAGAAAATGTGCCTCAGTTGCAAATATTCTGGTTTGGGCTTTTGTTTTTGTTTTTTTTGAGACGTAGCTCAGGCTGGCCTTGAACTCATGGCAATCCTCCTGCCTCAGCCTTCTGAGTGCTGGGATCATAGGCATGTGCCACCATGCCTGGCAACTGCAGACATTGATACTAAGCAAACAGAAACACACTTTTTCCCCCCTTGTACTAGCGCTCAAACTCAGGGTCTTACACTGCTGAGCTATCTTCCCAGTCTGTAACATGCATTTTAGACATCATATATGCAAGAAGCACTGGTCAAAGATCAGCTGGGGTAGAACAGCCAATACTTGGGCCACAGAGATAGCTCAGTGGTCTAAGCACCTGCCTAGGTAAACACAAGGACCTGGGTTCGATCCCCAGTACCACATGCCATGTCAGCCCCATCCCAGGTGTGCCGAGCTGGCCATCAAGACCACCAGGCATAATGGCACGTGTCATCCCAGTTCTGGGGAGGCTGAAACAGGAGAATCACTAAGAGTCCAAGCTGCGTAGTAAGATGCTGTAGCAAATACACACAATTAAAAAAGAAAAAGCCAATACTTGAGAGAAACAGGCATGCAGAAAATTTAAATTTTACTGTAAAACTAAGCAGCAGATCTCCAGAAGTATATGGGCATGTTCCATTCCATGAAAAAAAAAAAAAAAACCCTATAAACTATATCCAATTACAGCTTTTATCTAAAGTGAATAAAAAAACTGTTAAAAATCCTTATAAAGGGCCGGGGAAATGGCTCAGTGGAATAAGCGCTTCCCTGGCAAGCACAAGGGCCTGAGTTCAATCCTCGGTTCCGCAAAAAAAAAACAAACCTTTGTAAACATTCTCCATCATATCCTTTATATATGTTTAACTTTTTAACAGACTTATTGTGCACTTGTTTTTTAGACAGGGTCTCACCTTGTAGTGTAGGCTTGCCTTGAATTCACTGTGAAGCCCAAGCTGGCCTCAAACTGGACACAATTCTCCTGCCTCAGGCTCCCTAGTGCTGGGATTACAGGTATGTATCACCACACCTAGCCTCTTATTAGTAGAATTAAACAAGAAAACATTTATCTTGAAAAATGAGGATGTTCTTTTTTGGCAAAAAATAAAACATTTTTCCTTGTTTGCTTTGTCTGCAAGGACACTCAGATTTAAGATAACTGAACAGTTAAGAGGATGTTTTGTTGTTTTTCTTTTTTCTTTCTTT